GAATATGATTACACAAATCTTCTTTTTCACTCATGATTAGTTGGGACAAGCCATTTATCAAACAATTGTGTTTGCCTTTGTTGTTTTACATCATAATGACAACAGAAACTAAAAAAGTGACTCTAATCAAAAATATACATACCCTGGAAGTTTTGGTGCGATAGCATACGTACACAGGTTGATACAGACAGGCGTACAAAGTTATTAAGGGTACTCGTCCTCATCTGTGATTTGTTTGCTTCTAATTTGTGGGTGTGCATAAAAAGTCCTATTCTCACCTATGGTCACAAACGTTGGACTGAAAGAATAAGATTGTGGATACATGTGGTCTAATGAGTTTTCTTTGCAGGGTGGCTGGACTCTCCCTTTGAGACAGAATCTGGGAAAGACTCAGTGTAGAGCCGCTGCTCCTCCACATCGAGAGGAGCCAGTTGAGGTGGTTCAAGCATGTGGTAAGTATGTCCACTGGATGTCTGTGTAGGGAGGTTTTTCGGGCGTTTCTGACTGGGAAGAGACCTTGGAAAGACCCACGAAACGCTGGAGAGACTATGTCACTCGCCTGGCCTGGGAACGCCTTGGAGTCCTTCCAGATGAGCTGGAAGACGTAGCTGTGGAAAGAGAGGTCTGGGTTTTCCAGCTCAAGTTGTCCCTGCGGATGGATGGATTTATTTTATGGTGAAAAAAGTCAATGAGTTTTTAAGCTCCTGGAATGTTACATTCACTGTTGCACTGGTGTTATTAGTGTTAGGCTCGTGGGTTTCCCAATACTGTGATTCTTTCTTGTAGAAAAGTAAAATAAAACCACAGACATGATTGAGCTCTTATTCAACTGAAGAACATTTACTTCAACACTCCAAAGCTGCCATTACAGAACTCCCTATTTTTACATCCTCCTCCTCTCTCCCCCGGAAACCTCTTTCAAAATAAAACATCAACTTTCACAATAAAATATTTGCAAACATTACACATTGTCATTACTCCAATATTTGTTCTTATATTAGATTGGATTCGGAGCCATGGGAAAGCAAAAATAATTATCAAATGATCTGCGGTAGTTTAACTTTAAAAAACAGGAAACAGATATACAAGAGATCCACAAAAAGTGGAAAATAAGAGATTCTGTTGAAAGCAAACAATGGGCCTCATGCAAGAACATGTTCGTATTCTTATCCTAAATTTCTCTTACTTTTGTTCGTACAAAGGGTTCGTACGAACATGTCACGTCAGATTCAACAAACTCTTCTATCTTCAGGAAAAGTGTGTAAATGAGCTGCGTAAATTACACCTGTCCTATCCAGCTGCTCGTGCACGCGAGAGGAGATTAGCATAATTACCACCCCAAAAACACCATATAAGGCTGTGTTTCCTGCCTCAGATACAAGGAAGTGTCCATTCATGAAAATGACAGCGAAAACTAAAAAGAAGAACTTTACGAGTTCAGAGATTGAAGTCCGTCTGTCAGAGATCCAGAAAAGAAAATCTGTCATTTTTAGCAGGTCAGCTGTGGAATAAAAAGAGCTGCTAAAAGTATAAACAACTGTGTTAAATCATTTTCATTTATTCAGAAGACACAGCGCTGCGCACCGTACCAAAATCAGTCTGGATAACAGCAGACTGACTGCTCGTAAAATATACGACAGGTCTGGACCACTCGTGAATTTTGTTTGTATCTGAAAAAAAACTTAGAATACGAAAACATTGGTGAATGCCACACATTCTCCTAAATCACTCGTACGCACAACTGAAGAACAAATCTGTGCATACTAACGGTTTTTGCATGAGGCCCAATGATCTGGTAGACCAACAAAACTTTGAGCCACAACTGCCAGGAAAAGTGTTTGTGATGCAAAGAAAAAAACCTACAAATACTGTAACTTCAGCTGAACAACAAGACTATGATAAAATGTGGTGTGGATATTTTGGTAAATAGTAAACGGTCTGAACTTTTATAGCACTTTATCAAGCCCCATCGGACCCAAAGCACTTTATACTACAGTCATTCACACGCTGATGATGGTAAGCTACACTGTAGCCACAGCTGCCCTGGGGCACACTGACAGAGGCGGGGCTGTCATGCACTGGCACCACCTCTGACCACCATCAGTAGTCAAGGTGGCTGAAGTGTCTTGCCCAAGGACACAACGACTGAGACAGCTGGGATGGGGAGATCGAACTGGCAACCGTCCGGTTACAGGAGGACTCCCCTAACCAACTCCACCACAGCCGCCCCTCATGGTCATGGACAATTAAGAGGCACTTGAAGAAAAATGTGCTGCATGGTGGACTCACTAAGAACGCCACTACAGCGCAGATGCCACAGAGCAGCCAGCTTACAATAAGTCAAACAGCAAGACGAGCCTCAAAACCTTTGGAACAAAGTTATGAACATTTTGGCCACAACTATCATTACATTTAGAGGAGTTAACAGTGCGACACCACATCATCTACTAATGCTGGTTAAAGCTCTATCATGCAAAGAAGAAGACACATTTGGACACCAACCAGAAAGACCACTGTCTTCTCTGGGTCAGAAATCTACCTCTCTGATGAATGAGTAGTGGATTTGACATGGGCAGCATACACATATGGAAAGGCACCATCGATGCAGAAAAATAAACAGGTTTTAGATAGGGCTGGGCAGTATGACCTCAAATTCATTTCATGGTATAAATTGAATCCCTTCATGGTAACGGTATATATTGCAGTAAAAAATTATCATAAAAAAGCAAAGATAATGTAATTTTTAGAGCTTTTTTTTTTTCCCAAAAACTGTAATCATGATCAAACCCAGCATTTTTGCTGTAGTGCAAATGAACATAACAGAAGTACAGAAGAATGTTATATATATATATATATATATATATATATTTCACTTCTCACTCTGAGCCAGGAGAAAGGTTGCTATATTTTCTTTTTCATCTAAATGTTTTTGACCTTTGTT